ACTGTGTGGCCTCAGATTATTTTTATAATATGCAACGTTTCGGGCAATGAGCCTTTGTCCTTCCTTAAAGACAACCTCATATCCCCTCGCCCATCCTGCGACTGCTACTTCCTGCCCCCACTCCCCAGCTACTACCAGGCCTACCACTACCATTACCCCTAAAATAAAATAAAATGTTTTGCTCCGGATGACCGCTGCAAAGTATTATCTGTATTTTGATTTAGCGTGCTGATCTTAAAGGTGCATTGAAAAATGTGATACTCCAACTTATGCTCCTGTTGTTGTGGAGTGACTCATGCAGCCAGCTATGGCTACAGGGTTTGGTGTTACATGTTGTTTATGTTGTTTATTGTGAAAATTCGATCACAGTTCCTATGATCACTGTTACATTGCTTCTATGGCTTTATTTTGGTGATTTCGAAAAGTTTTTTGGTTTGGCTATGTTTGTTTGTTGTAGTACGGAGTTAGACTGATGGCCTTAATCTAAGTTTTCTTGTGGTTGTTGTTGTTGTTTGACTTGCATCCCACTGGGACTTTTGCACACAGCGTTGGTGTACGGTGCTTTTTCAGGAATATTTAGATGTTTTTTTCCTGGATTTTCTGTTTGCAGTCACATAGTCACTTTAAGATGTTTTCTTGTTCATGTTTTTGTTTTTTGCGGTTGCACCCGATTCAAGAGCCGAATGGCTCACAGGGCTATACCAAATAAATGAAACTGAAATTACTCCTACCACTATCACTACCCCTACCACTACCCCTACCCTGATAACTACCCCTACCCCTATCACTACCCCTACCCTGATCACTACCCCTACTCTGACCACTACCCCTATCACTACCCCAACCCCTGTATCCAGCAACTGTGACCGATGGATACGGCAGCCACATTTGCAAATGTGATGTCACTTTGATCTTGACCTGTGCAGTATCGATAGTCAAGTGTTAATGTGCCATCTTATTGAGGGACTACTACTGTGTGGTGTAGTCTGGGACTGTGTTGTTGTTCTTGTTTTTGCTGCCTTGCCAAAGCTTGATAAACCGGACTTATATAATGTATTTTTTATTTACTTAGATCTTGTGACTTGCTTACCATTTTCTCTCTTTTGCACTCCTATCGTTGTGTTTTTGTTTGTTGTTGTAACTTGGCTGACCCCTCCCATACTGGACATCTGCGAAAGAAAGAGCTTCATAGCTCATCGGATTCCTCCTGCAGTCGAAATAAAGATGTATTTATAAACGGCATTTAACTGCCCAGCACGTACATTGGAGATTTCTGGGCTCAAGTGACGATGGTGGGCTCCATGCCAGTCGGGTGGGTACGTCCGTGTTGTGCGGAGCACATTCGCCGTCATGGCATTACACTAAAAGAATCAGAATGTTTTTATCCTGGAGGAATCCGATGAGCTATAAAGCAATTTTTCACAGATGTTCAGTAGGGGCGGGTAAAGAACATTGCAACAAACAGTACAGAACACATGATAGTCGTGTCGAAGGTAAATCAATAACCTGAACACATACAAATAAAACTAAACCATCCCCATCATGAGAATAGGTTTTCCCCTTTTATCTGGAAACAAAACAGGTGTTAAAACACAAAACTGAAGCCTTTTACAAGGCATCATGTCTGCATTAACCACAATACTTGTGGTCAGAATGCAAACAAAAAACCACACTGATAATATATGCATTGTCTTTTAAACTGATTGGTCCACACCAGAGACAGCTTTCTTTGGTGCCTCGTCTCAAAAGGGGTTAGACCAGAGGACGCCAAAACCTGGCTACCACAAATGACAGCTCAACAAAGTGGCCCATCATTTGGACATAAATACATATATAGCACCAGAATAATAATAATCTTAACGCAACAGCGCCAACCCGCATCACGGCGACCGAGAGGGCTCCTGCTCTCGGCCCACGTGCCAGAGCAGTGGCTGGTACCATGACGGGAGGGGGTAGCAACTCTGTCGGAGTGTCGTGTGCGATGTCTTCATCACGGGCAAATTCATTAATTGCACACGGCCAGCGAAGGACCGCTGCCGTCACACGTGTGACCTCTTGCGACAAGCGGCTCGCTTAAACTGCTCTTTGCCGTCATCCACCGGTGTCTCGAGCGATTTGTTCGAACCACGGATCACGTGGGCAGGGCCATTTCCTCTGCTGAAGTCGTAACTAATTGGCACGTTTTGTTTAGGTGACGAACCGTACCAATTGGCTGTCTAGGGTTGGGGCGGATTTCACGACATTTTTATTTACGCGATCTAGGCCCAAAAAAACACCCCCCCCCCCGCTCCTCTTAAATCTGGATCGGTTTTTCGCGCTTGTTTATACGTTGGGACACGTCCACATCGACTCCTCTGGAGAATGTGGATAGCGCATGTCCGGACACGAGCCACCCATTCCTGAAGCACAGTCACCGACCACCGACCGGCAAATCTGCGGGGAGGGGTCCCACTCCCGGTTCACCCCCCCCCCCCCATCTCTGTCTCTCTCCGTCTGTCTGGGCCACCCACACGCTGGGTGTAACCGGGACTCCAATCAACAACGCTTCCGATGGGGCCGAATGCTCGGCAGGTGTGTATACAACAGCAGCTCGGGAGAGGGGGACATGATCTTCTCCGGTGCAAGTTGCGTCCAGGATGCGAGGGGGGAGTTGGATGCCGTTAGTGGGGGGAAAAAAAGGGTTAATTTACGACTGAACAAATTATTTTGTGATGTTGCTGGTGCTGCGTTGGCAATGGTGCATACGCGTAAATAACAAACAACCACACATTCGTCAATAACCGTGGCCTTAAAGAAGACGTTTCGGGCAATGGTCTTTCATACATTGTGTATGCTAATTTGACACGCTATGAAGACGGGCATCGTTGCGAATCGATGGTTGTCCTTTTTTAAGGGCCACCGTGTGGTGCTTCTGCACCACTTCCAACACAGCAGCGTCACCAAATAATTATTTAAGCACTCAGGGCAATTTCCAGACGACGATCTAACGTTTCGAAAAATGTAAACAAACCCCCGTGCTGCGTGGTGGGCCTGTGGCGAGTTCCGCGGACTGAATGAAGGAGTTCCACCAACATCCCACACGGAAGCGCCGTGCCGTGCCGCTCACTTTTCTTCGCCGCCCGTTCCAGGGATTCCGCCTCCGATCGTCGCTGGGCATTGCCCCTCGTCCAGTGAGGTCGCAGAGTTTGGAGCAGGCTACCACCACAGTATGGGACTTTTTGTTGTTGCCAGTATCAGAGCACGTTTGTTTGCATGCATGTTAAACGCAAGTACCGTGCGTGGTCAATGCAGCAACTTGATTTCTTGCAAAAAAATGTTTATATTTGAGTGTTTTAACATGTTAACACACCTCCTGGTTGATTGCAACGCTGCTCATGGAAGTATATTGGAAGACCCGAGTGTATATCGTCAATGCATAAAACTATTTTTTGGGTTGTCGCTTAAATATAAAAAGGTGTCGTCAAACACCGCCGCCACCACTACACAGCCAATTAGTAAGTTTTGCCAGGTCAACAAAACGTGCCAATTAGTTCCCCCTTCAGCACTACCGGTGTGTTGGGAGAGTAAACCCACAACATTTATAGTTCATCAGACGATGAACAGATTTGTTAGAAAGTCCTCCTATTTCGCTCTGGAACTCGCCAGCTATATCATTGATATTTCGCAGAGAGAATAGATTGCTTGGTTTTAAATCACTCAAGGGCCATATTTAATCAGCTTGAAATGTCGCTCACGCCCACCCTGCCTTGGGAAGTTTCTTGATCCGCCTCGGATTGAATCTGGCTAACATTTTTTTTTAAACATGCAGTGGTTAAATCTCTACATTCGTGCATACATCTCACGGGGGGCGGGGGGGGTTACTCTCATGAGGCTGAACACATCAAGGGGCAGCGAGACTTCCACGTCGATCTCAACGTTTGCACTGCACGCAGCTGCTGCAACCGGACCACGTTCGTGAAGCCGCGAGTTAAATTGGGGTCAGCCCCCGCCTCCTTCCCACGCGCGGGACGACGATGTCAACGTGGGCGGTTGTTTTGCTTGGCGTGGGGATAATTTCGACGCGTGGGTGATGGGAGCTGCTGCGCGCGACCGGTTTGACCAGGTTGAAATGTCTGCGCCAATACGTACGAACACAAACATTGTAATGGTCGCACATCAAGGACGCGAAGGCAGACAATGGCGTTTTCGGGACGGACATCTTCAAATAGAACGGGTTTGATGTTTTTAGATGACACCACAACTGCCTCGTTCAATAAGCGATGTCCAAGGGTGTAATTTGGCGCCTGTCCTATCGAGGCGGTTCGCCAATGTGTACACTTTGCTGTAGGGTCAGTCTCGGTTAAACAGGGCACTGCGGGCCCATCGTTGGCACGTGTATTGGGGGTAACATGGTTGGGATGTTGAACAGCATGAAAGGGTTAGTGGGGAGCCTCATTCACATAGGAGGGATGTTCTGGCGGAAAGCCGTGACAAGAAGAAGCTAGATACCCTTCATCACAGAGCAGCAGTGCGGATTGTGGGGAAAAAAAAGTGGTGACAGCCGTGAGGTCAATCACAGCTGCCTCTACAGGCAGGGGCTCGTGTGGCATTTCCTCTCAAGGCTGCAGCTGTCACGGGTGAAAAGATGCCAATTGAACGGAATTTCAACAGCAGCACGTATATCCAACAACGATGGAACACAACGCGTACAATTGTTGGTCCCGTTAGATCACCTAGAAATTAATCACATATCGAGAGTACGGATCTACAATACTGTCACCTAGAGTATTCGCTTTTGTACCAATTGGATTTTAAAGATTCAATACGGAGAGCTCTTGACGATACTCGGACCCAGACAATTCACGTTTGAAGCTTTTTTTTCATTTGGAACAGAACCTTTAACCTATTATAAAGCACACCTAAATAAGCTCGCTGTTAAGAATGTTATCTTTAAATTTTAGATATTGGGAGTTGATTGATCTACGAAATGGCATTACAATAAAGAATGAAACAGAGTTGTCCTCATTTCTTCACTTTATTTGTTGCAGTTTCTAGCAACCTTGCCGACAGACTGCATGTTGTATTACACAGCAGCAGCAGCAACATGCTGCCCGCAACAACACGGAGCAACCTAATAACGGACATACTGCACAATAGACTGGAACTGTATTTACAGTTAAGGAAAACAAAAAAAATCATTCTTAACATTATACTAATTTTATTAGAAAAATCTGCCGTCTTCCACAAACACACGACTTTTTTTTCCAGCTGGAAAAAATGCAACCGAGTAAACAGGAGTCGCCGTACATTATCCCACGAGAGAGAAAACAAGAGTTGCAGCAAAGTAATTATTTTATTGGTCAGCTCCATCGCTCCAAAACTTACATCTGCCCTGCCACTTGTCTCAAAAGCGTTAAAACTAAGAACATGGTGTGAAACTCAAGACTACACTTCTTAAAATGTTGCCAATGACGGCTGCGAATTTTTTGTCTTTTCCCTCCCTAAAACTTTTTTTTGGCATTTTAACCAGTTTTTTTTTAATGAAATGTCTACACTTTAGCTTCATGTGGCTGTGGCGCAAAACTGGAGGGGCGGTGGATGAGGGAGGGAGGGGAAGGGAGCGAGGCTTTCGGTAACGCAAACAGCAAGTACCGCAGGGATGCAACGGTTAGGTTCGGCAGGTCTTCGCAATCCTCTTGTTAACAACGCACAAAAGTTACATTAGTTGGGCCAGGTCAAAAGGTGAACAGAGGTGGAAAAAAAAAGATAAAATATTTTATTATTTAAACTCAATATAGGATGCGTATTGGAGATGTCAAGCATTTCTAAGGACCGTGAGAAAGTTGCAAGATAACACTTCAGGTGATGTGCATCTTTTGTGTGGCTTGCGAAAAACACGCTACGCTAAAGTGGCACCGACACCCATACAAAAACGCAACGGGGGGGGGTAAACGTAATCACACGCGGCGATCGTTCGCGCGATCCAACATAACGCGAGCGGTTGCCCCCCCCCTCACCACCAATACCATTTAGCACATTCCTAGCCCTCCTCCTCCTCGATCCACGTCGGGGTGCTCCTCTTGACGATCCATCGTCCACGGAAACGCTCCGCTCTCGGTCTCTACCCATCGTGCCGCCCGCCCGCCCATCCTACCTTCCTGTACACTTGTGAACCTCTCTCCCCTCCCCTCACACCACACACGTGGGAACTGTTAGATTTGAAAGGACAGAATTTTTTTTTTACAACTTACACTGTACACGAGAGATGCAATTCACACTCGCATTACACAAGAGTGCAGCAGGAATCCCATGAGCATTTACTGAAGAACACCTTTTGCTCCATTATTATACATACCTTTGATCTTGTCTCTAAGAGATGTTCTGGCACCCAAAGTTGTCGGCTCTACATGTCATTGTCACATGGAACATTGTTATTCAAAACCAGTTGGGCAAAAAAATGCCAAATTTATCATTAAATTTTGGACACAAGTGGTATTTTACAGACCTGGGCCGAACAGCCTTGCAGACTCAATCATGCGGTTCCACTCCAGCAGTTCAAAACAGGGTACAAAACCACCCACTCTCACTCTCTTCCACACAAAACGGGGTGAAGGAACTTTTTTTTATGTACAGCCAAAGGCTATGCCATGCGGTAGTGCTCTATACATCACATACTAAAAGCAGGGTCGGGAGCCCATGTAAAATGCACCTCTTCAGAGAGGCTATTGAGATTTTCAAACCTGCTCAAAACACGTGCACTGCAATCTCAAGGTACACACTCTGTGCTAATCTTTAAACATTCATGAAACAAAAAAAAAAGCCTGTTAAAGCGACGTCGCAATCGACGGTCGTGTCCCCCCCCCCTCCCCTGCTTCTCCGGTTAAGGTCTTCCCTTTCGGTTGTGTCGCAGATAAGCAGGGACGATAAACGGGGATTGGTAAATCATCGCACGGCACCGGGGGGGGCAGGGGGACGGGGCTACACCTGGGAACGCAACGTCGGTCGGTACCCCGTGGTGGTGCCAACGAGCACGCCGGTGGTACAGGTGCACAAAAACTCTGTCCTTTGGAGGGTCCGGCGAACCGCAAGCAACAATGTGTCAAAAAAGAAACACATTTCAACGAGACAAGGACACTTTAAATACTATTACAGATGGCCTTGCAACCATCTGGAAAAAATGAACAAAAAAACCCAATGAATCTAAACCGATGTATACTGGGGGATTGAGCATGAGGACACAGATTCAACACCATCCAAATTCGTTTCATTAAACAAAAAAAACATTCCTTGAATGCGCAGGCAAGGTCCTATACATTTGCAAGAGTTAAATTCACATCCAGTCCAGCTGTCAAATGTGTACACCGGTGTGTGAAAGCTGCTGGTTGTTGGCTGCACGGCGGAGAGAAGGCGCACGTGGGGACAGTGCAGGAGGGAACCGTGCTGTGGCGTGGGAGAACGAGGGGAGGCGGCTCTGGGGCAACTTCACGCAGACTGCGATGACGGCGATGATCAACGTCAGCTTTCTCTCTCTCTCTGCCAACCCCTCTCCACTGCCACCCCCTTTCCCCGTCTCTCCTCAGTTGTGGATCTTGATGGCCTTCTCCAGGTAGGGGTAGCGACTCCTCTTGGGGGCCTTGTTGAAGTGGTCCAGGCCCAGCCACGGCCTGGTCTGCACCATGCTCCCTGCCGTGCACGTGCATGAACAAAGCGGCAAGGTGTTTAGAAACCGGCTCCGGCAATACTTTCTGTAATTTTATTTAACTGTTTAGAGATAAATGATTCCACGCGACAGTAAACCCTTATGTACTGTGGGTATTTACATCTTGCCACGGTGGCGAGATGTTAACTACCTCGCCTCGTATACAAGTCGTGGGTTCAAGCCTGACCCGGATGCCTGTATATTTGGAGTTGCCATGTTCTCTCTCCCCAATGGCCGTGTGGATTTTTCTCCGGCTCCTCCGGGTTTTACCCTCCACATTTAGAAACATGCATTTAGAGCTGCTATAAATTTACACAAGCCACTTCGTTGAGCTATCATTTGTGCTAGCTAGGTCGCTTCTGAAAAACATCTATATAAGCTCAGTGGGCTTTACAGGTAAAATAAAAAAAAAGTTTAGGCTTATTTTACAGCAGGTTGAAATGCAAACATGGGAGGGCTTCCCCGCGTCAAGAGGAGCACGCTGGGTGGCACTCATTTGCTGGGGGAGTCTGAGCCAGGGTCGCGAGAGTGGTTTCTGTTCCCATGGGCAGGACTGGGCCACCCCCCACTGCTGATGTGCTCAACGGCAGTGCTCATTTCAGCAGCCCCGGAGCAATGATGGGCAAGGGGAATTGTAATCGTCCCACGAATTTAATTCTAAAGTCTTGTTTAAATATTATCTTGTTATATTGTATAAACTGCCGTGTCATATTTTTTTCCTCGAGTGCTAATGTTGCACTCCATTCTTGCCCAAGTTACATCTTTGTTAGTCTGTTATCCTTCCCCCGCACCCCTCGATTAGCACAGTTGGCAACGTATGGTGGCGAAAGACGTTCAAACATACACACATACATCCTAGAATGCGAGCCTTCAATGTCTCAAAGGAGCATTTTTTTTAATCAACATACAACATGCGAGCCGAACAGCGACACGCGCGTTCACGAGCCTCCACGCGCGGTGCAGACCTTGCTGTGGCTCGAAGTCCTTCAGGTCGACGATGTATTCATCCTCCTTGATGTACTGCGGCCGACCCATCATCACCACGGCGAACTTGAACTGCCGCGCATGTCGGCGACAGACGCACGCAAGCACCAGGTTAGTGGCGGCACACACACACAGCCCAACTTGTCACGAGCATGATGGCGTTTTCCAGAAAAAACTCTTAGGCAAACGTTACCCTCGTCACCGCAACAACCAAGTTGACACGGTTAGTGGAGTCGCAGCTGTGGCATCGGTTCAACCAGACGAGGGACGGGTGAAATGCATCACGGGGCAGCGTCCCCCGAACCCGATCTACGATGCGACATTCATCCGCAAGGCGTCAAATCCCCGGAGCTGGTCAGGTGTTTTGTGGTTTGCTGCTGGGTTTTTTTTTACTTATCATCAGAGGGCGGTGCGGCAAAATCAATCGTTGTATTGTACCATGCTCCCACATCTATGCTGCCCGTCTTCCAACAGCCTGCACTGGGTCAAACAATACCGACGCAACCTGCACGGCACGGGGCAGGGCCCGAACCCCCTTCAGCAGATTGACCAAGTAAACGTGACGGTGGGAAAAAAAAACTTTTCTTGCACGATGCACATTTACAATCGCGGCAAAGGCAACTCGATGTTCGAGGCCGCAAGTGCGTTTGATTTAACAGACCCGACAGAGTCACAGGGAGTCCGAATGCAGGAATTCAATTCACCCACAGGACCTCTTCACTGCAAGTGAAAACAACGCAGCTCGCTCTCCGTTGTGCAGGAGAGAGGAAGACAAAACCATGAATTCTTCTTTAACCAGAAGCGTGGAGCAGCGGCAGATCTTTCTCACAAGTAAAGGAGTCACTGTGTCCCCCCTGCAGCATAAACAGGGGGTGCGAGTTCAAATCCTGATGAGGAATCGACTCTACTCATTATACATCTGGGGCTGATAACATTGTTAAGAGTTTGGAGGGCAACATTGCTTTTATTATGGATACGCTTGCCGGTCCCTCCCGCCCCCATCATGAGAATATGGAATTTCCACCACCGGTTCAGGGCTGTAAGCCAAGGGATGGGTTTAAGAGCCACACCACACACTCGTGAGAGCAGAAAACCACTGACTTTGTTGACAAGGCATACATCGAAGCGTTTGTGGGTAAAGTTGAGGGCAGCCTCCACAGCCCAGGCTACTCTTACATACACAGACACGAGGCAGAAACAAATGTACACTCTGCATTAAACTAACAAACGCAATTTTACCTTTTCAAACTCCTTGTCAGGAACATCCAGAATGGTTTGAACTCTCTTCGCCACCTCTTTAAAAGGTTCGTCCTGCCACACAAGACAGCGGGTGGGTTCTAAATGAGGCACTTTCATTCAAGCAAACGTCGACTGCGGCACCATTCGGAGTGTGCACATCCTACAAAAGAAAGCCGTCCTTTGGTGTGGACCAATCAGTTTCAAGGACAATGCATATATTATCATAGTATGTTTTTAATATGCATTTTGACTGCAGGTATTGTGGTTAATGCAGACATGAATCCTCGTAAAAAGGTTTCAGTTTTGTTGCCAGAAAAAGGTAAAAACCCTATTATTATATTTTGGTACTGGCAAAGGAGGTATAATGATACATACAGCCAATTCTGACCAAGAAAGGCCCAATAAGCTATATAGCTCTTTTAGGAAGTGACTTGGCAACAAATGATAGCTCAACGGGGTGGCTTTTCGTTTTTTAAATGTATAGCAGCCAAATACTCTAAACGCACATTGATTATAAATGTGGAGGGAAAAACCGGAGGACCCGGAGAAAAGTCCACGCTATCACGGAGAGAACACGCAAACTCCAAATATACGGGTGTCAGGGTCGGGATCGGACCCACGACCTCCCGCATACCAGGCGAGGTAGTTAACATCTCACCACCGTGGCGCCCACGGTGGCGAGATGAACGCACTTCCCCTCTGCCACGGAGTTGCGTTCTGTGCTGGAGGACTAACACCTACTTGGCATATTCGCAGCAGAAAAGGAATCCCGAAGGTGCCGAAGACCTCCTTGTGGAAGTGGGCGACTGGGACCAGCATCTCTCGCTCTTTCTCAATGTCCACCTGGTCCACAGGAGTCTCCTGCACGCGTCGGGGCAAAAACCCAGGGGCCCAACGAAGTCAAACGTAATCCCAAGCCACCGCAGTAGGCAACAACATACCACCGTGAAAAACTTGCCGACACCGAGTTTGACTGCCCAGCCAGGACCAACTTCAGTAGGGCTGCTTGCGAGTGATATCTGAAGCGGAATTCAAAGTGGACATATGCCGGGTTCCCAAAAGCGACATCAACGGCATCAATTTAGGGAATTTAAACGGTATATATGTTATTCACACCTGAATGATAAACTGTAGTTGTTGTTCTGCATCGACATCAGTCATTTACTGAAAGAACATTCACACAAGGAGAGCGGTGGTGCAGCGGTCAACGCAGCACGCTGCGAATTCAGCAACCCAAGTTTGATTCCCAGCCACGCCAGCCCTTCGTAAGTGGTTGCAAACAGCATTTGCAGTGACTATATTGGGGGGGGGGGGGGGTCTTTGTGTATTTGTGCATTCGCGTTTATGTGCGGGTGAGAGCGGCAGTGCATTAGTTAGCGCGTTTCCCTATAAACATCACAAACAAGAGTTCAATTCCGAGCCAGCACACACATGAGTGGTGAGTAATATTCAAAGCGATCCTGGGCCTCCCCACTCATCAAGCTGCACTGACCAGTGCGGTGAAGTATGGTCAAACAATCCCCATGACCGACAACACCCAGTAGTAGACTTACAAAATGTGTACACTATTGATAACATATAAAAGGCACTAAAGATAAGGATCATAATTGCAACCATTAGAAATATATTAAAATAATCATACAATTAATACAAAGCAGCTTAAACTAAAGTTACACGTAAAATGTGTTTCTGAACAAAATAGAAATAACAGTAACATACATTTATATGCGCAACTGTTACAACATTCATTACCACAACTACCAAAATACCCACATTCACGATTATACATCTCAATTGTAAATCAGGGGAGGAAATGACACATTTAGTGGAGAAGCAGTTCCTGAAATTTTGAAACATGTGTTACTTGAGATTATGTCAAGAAAATTATTTGCTACCTACAAATGTTTATCCAATACTCCCAGACAAAAGCAACAGAATTAAGTTTGTAGGAAGCACTGTAGATAAACTATTTTTTTATTTTACCAGGAAAGGTCCCACTAAAGCAATATCGCTATTTTTCAGAAGCACCTTGGCCACAATTCATAGATCAACAAAGTGGCTTATCACGTGGACATTTATAGCACTCTAAAACGAATGTTGATTCTAAACGTGGAGAGAAAAACCCAGAAAAAATTCCACGCGACCACAGGGAGAGACCTGCAAAGTTCAATTATACAAGCGTCAGGGGGTCAGGACAAACCCACGACCTCCTCCGTACCAGGCGAGGGAGCTAACATCTCGCCCCCGCGACGCCCAACGTCACGCTCGGTCAGATAAAAGACTGAGCAGGAACGTCACACGTTACACGACTGCAGACGGATTAACAGAATTTACAATGAGTACTGATTTACAGTAGGATACAGTACAACAGACAAGACGGCACCGCTGCCTACTTTGGAAAAGTGGTAAACTTTCACGACACGCCGATCCCGATGCTCGCTGCTGAGGGGGAAGGAGGGAGATTGCGCGCCGAGGTTAAAACACAACCAAACGATGGCTGCTGTTGAAAGGGCTGGGAAAGCGCCGTCCGCTTGGTGGCACGTCCGCACGCGATGGAAGGCAACAACGACTGACGTTCAAGTGGCTCCTCTCGGGAGTGCAGCGGTTGAACACAAGTCAATCGATGGAGTGCCCCTGCTCGTTTATTATCGACGTGAAAATGGCCCCGGCCGCGTCCGATAAGGAAGGCCCTGACGAATTGTTTCTGCCGCGTAAAAAAAAATCGACTGCAATCATCAACGTCTCTCTTAAGATGCCATCACAAGCTGTCAGCGCCGTAATGGAAACTAAGCGACCCGGACAGAAATAGTAACCCTTCAACAAAAAAAAACGTACAAAATGGAGCCGCGCAGCTTGACAACGCCAGCGTTGTGGCATGTGGTTATACCAGGACGGCTGTAACCCTCACCCCTATCTATAATGTGGGTTGTAAACGTTAAAGTGCAATTGCAAAGAGAGAATGCAGCTGCCCTGGCATTTGGAGAGCCATTCTCAGGTCCTCAAAGGGCTACTGTTTACTCCAGCGCTCAACTGCGAACTGTGCTGTGTGATGTACAGTATGTTGAACTTCTATCGCACCGTACATAGCCAACCAATCGGAAGTGCGATGGCGGGGGGGGGGGCAGAGCTCGTGTTGACCTACCTCTATTCTGTAGGTGCGACTGGTCGCTGAGTTGATGCATTCCAAGAGTTCATCCTCTTGGCGCATGCCAATGATCTTGTAGCTCACGATTTCCAGCAGCCTAGACAGAAAACACATGCACACACAGGTTCTAAAACACACACACAAACACATGCACGCTCACAAGCACGCATACACAAACATCCGTCATGAAGCCTGAACAGGATATTGAGGCGAGTGCAGTCAGCACCCACCTATTAAAGGCAGTAAAGGCACATGATGGAATGGTGTGGTATGGCTACCATCACGCCCGGCCGAATTTGTCTGCCCAGTGCTGATGTTTGTAGACTGCACCAGGTACTTGTATAAGGCAGGGTCAACCTAGGGCAGGTCCGGGCCCAGTTACGATATAAGTCACGGATTATTGCCATGACATGGAATCAAACTCGGGTCACTGGGTCAATAGGGCAGTTCACTAATCACGACACCACCACTCCCATAAATCACACCACCGTTACATCCACGAACAAATACAAACATAAAATTGGAAAAAAATAGAAATACATAAACAAACACATCGGGGTTACTACTGAGGCACATCACAGGCAGTTTTGAGTTTGAGGCACGCAAACACGAGAAAATGTAAACATGCTCTGCTGAGTGATGGGGATGTTACGGAAAAATGGCTTTGCGATTTTCATGCGAGTGGGCAGTAGCACCAGAAATGTAAAATCTACTTGTGTAGTCACCCCGTGTGATTTCATGAACTGCACTGTCATTGTCTAACATGTACCGTGTGTGCTGTACAAACACGGACGCGCGCAAGGACGAGAGATGGGCGACTTAAACAAACACTTTTACAAGCACGGGACCATCATATCTGCTCCTGCTGTTGTATCAACCTTGGCGCCTAGAGTCTGTACAACTCAGTCTGCTTTAATCCGTTGCGAGATAACTTGTAATAACCATGCACAAACAATACGTATGGGGGTGGATGATACTCCGTTACAAACAGCTTTGCTTAAAACGCTCACCTAGAATGATGGCACAAGCGCCCATGGTGACGTCACCGCCACTTAGTGGTGAACGGCGGTTGTTGTGATGACAAAACAAAGGCAACGCACTAAATAATGTTACACTTCTCTGCTGCGATGCTAGATGGAGTATAAAAGCAGGTGGGATGATGAAAGGGACACTATCGGCTTTTACCGTAATTGCTTTTCAAGTTATTTACGTATCATTAATTGTACTCGTTTAACCTGTCTCAAGACAAGCTTTTGCAGTGGGGGTGGGGGGAGGTGGGGCAATGTTTTAGTGATGTTTACTCTTCCTATATTTTGCACTTCCATCGTGTATTGTACTTTCTGTTGTTGAAAATCTCTGACCCGCCCCTACTGGACATCTGTGAAAAAGAGCTTTATAGCTCATTGGATTCCTCCTGTATAAATAAAGTCTCATTCTGCTGCAGGTTGTGTATTTTCAACGGAATAATTTTCAAGTATTTTTTTTTCAGCATTGGGATGTTTGGCCAATACCAGTAACATTGTATGGGTTTTTTTTAATGAGAGGAAACCAGAGAACTGAAGAGGAAACCCATGTAGAACATGGGGTGAACACAAAAAAAAACACAGTAGGCACCCAAGTCTGGAATTCTAACCCAGTCCCTTCATGCACTGTGCTACTCCGATACGAGACAAACCGGGGCTCTTGAGACTCGGGTGTATACTCGCTTGATATCCTGGCATTGCGATCTTTGTAGGGATGACCAGAAGTGTTTTTATCAATCGCCCCTGGAAGGTCCTGATGTGAAATGGGTTTCTTGTTTTGGGTTGGAGGGCACGTATAAAACTATTGCTTTAACAGAGAGGAAACAAGATTTGAGCAGGGGGGTGTGACACCTTTTCTGACATCGAATGAAGACTTGATTTAATATGCGGCTGCAAGTGCAAGTCGGGCAAAACACGCTCGAGGTATTGATATGCCTATCTCGCCAGACAGGATATCATCAACTTCAACTGACAGGAGTGGAAGTAGGTAAGTGATACCAAGAGCCGAGCGAGGTCAAGGTCTGTGTTGCACCTGGCCTGGAGCAAAGATGTCAACATAAATGGAACGTAAAGATTTTACGAGCTCAATTACACATCTACCCTACATGTTTCTGCACTGGAGGATTAACCCTGCAGATGAAGTACGGTTAAACAAATCGCACAACTGATATGGAGTGGGGGGGGGTGATTATTACTTAGCAGCGGGTTGAAAAAAATAATTGTAAATTTTTACTGTAAATTCAACGATCGTGGGGAAATTGAGATTCTCATGATTGCTGTGCCGATGAGGTCTGTCTGTGTTCTCAAGCGGAGACCGTGTGGATTCTCCACATGCGTCAGCGGGGTAGTGACCTGCACACAATGAAGACTTTGTGCAGGAAATACACCAGAGCATTCTGTTACCAGTAAAATTAAGCTCAATTAAATATTAAGAGTATTTTCTTACAAATGATTCAGGGAACAGAACATGATCCAGATAGAAGAGGATTTACGTGCAGTTTAAGATATTAATTGAAAATTTCCGTTCACCAATTAATTTATGCACATTTTTTGTTAAATGGAACATTAAGCGTTGCTTAAATGTATAACGCAAGTCACGCAATAACTATGTTGTGGTTCAATAACAACACACACTGCCAGCCGCGCTCACTCTGTGTGCCAACAACGCAGCAGTTCACTTGAATTCAAAATGAGTAAGCCAGGTTCCAAAACCAACATAGAACAATAGTGGCAGTTCAAATGGATTTCGCCACAGGGGTGGAAAAAAATCTATTTTTTTCAGATCCGAATTTGAGGATTAAGGTTCAAACCTTAATAAACCTCGTGGTTTTATTCGTGATACTCCCAGATCAGTACTTGTACTGCTCCGACGAGTTCCTGTCGTTGCTTTCCGACATAGAACTGCATTCGGCAAATGCCGCAAGTTGCTCTTGAGGTAGACCAACTTCGCCACCGAACTGGGCGCCAAGCTGTTCCTGAGCTCGCTGTGTATGAAGCCCATAGTTAAGAAGTTGCGCTCAGAGGCTGCAGAGGATGTCGCCATCATGAACAGCTTGACGCCGATCTTCTGATCGGGCCAGGCCACGCCGTCAGACTGCCAATACTGCAAAGGTATCTTACGTTCCTTGAGCAGCATAATGAATCTAAATCCGCCGGCGTCCTTCTCCTGCCGCGCCGAAATGACGTGGTCGGTGAGCTCCATAAAGAGCGCCTCTCGTCATCAACTGCCGTCTCATCATCGATCGGTGTCTCCAGTAAGATGTTATCCAACTCTTTTCGATTAGCCAGGCTCAAGCCCTCTCCAATGAAGCGAGGATCTAACAGATACGCCAGTCCATCGACCTTTCCGTACATGAACTGAAAACGACTTGTTGCCAACTTGATCAGGTAGTTGATCTCTTCAGTGCTGGCATGACCAACTTCGTGCAGCTTGGCAAAACTCAGCAGGGAGGGCGTGAAAATCCGGCAAGACTTCAGAGACTGGTACGGAATCGGATTGATATTTGACAATCAATGCGTCGATGGGCGTGAGAATGGAAAGGGACTTCTGCAACAAACCCAGTCGTCGCTCGTAATGATGGTCTTGATTCGCATTCGCTCGGATTTCTGAGCTGCCGTCTCCTTCATGAAGTCACGAGCTGTGACAATGGAATGCAGAATCCTCTCCGACGACAACAGCGTCTCGCAAGAGCCTTTGATCGTTCCCCAACGTGTAGGAGCCGGCCGGACAAAAGCTTGAACGCCAGCGATCTTCTGTTCAGCCTGCAGCTGTGCCTTGAGAATGTGACTGTTGTGAAACAATTTGACCGTGTCCTTGCACCCCACGATGAACTCCAACGGATAGTCGATCGGGTATGTGTGTTCTGATTGGCCGGGTTTCCTCGTCTTCGTGACAGAGAATGTCCTTGACAAGCTAATGCAGACCATGCAACGTACAGCCTTGGAAATAGGATGGGTGAGCCTTCGAGAGCTGTTCCCACGCATTCTTGTTGGTGGATGTGTTGTCGGTGACCGTGCCAGCGAATGTAGTCTTCGGATGGGATGCCATCACACGTTGAAGATCCGAGGCGATCCAGTTAGCGTTGTCGCCCTGCTCTCCAGTGGACACCGACTCGAGAAAGAACGTTGGGGACGGCGATGTGACCATGTAGTTCACAATCAGATCATTCTTGATGTTTGACCACGCATCAGATGTCAGGCAAACGGCCTTATTGTCCAGGACGGTGTCATCCTTCTTCATGTCGATGTACGCCCTGTCGAGCAATGGTCCGGCCAGCCTCTTCCTGTTCGGCAGCACTGCATCTGGGCGAAGGGCCTTCACAGCGATCACCAGGTTCTCCTCCTCGACCCACTGGAACGACGTGCCCAAGAAAAACTAATGCATTGCTATAGCCTGCTCAAACTTCTCCTTCGTTAGTTTATCGAGCCTGGGTATTAGGTGATCTTTGATCGATCCTTGCTCCATCGACGAAGCATTCGATGTAGATGGAGTTGAGCTGCATCTTGCCTTCGATGGCTTCGCCCGCTTCTTGTTTGTCGCATACCACTCGGGATGATCATCTATCTCGGTGCCATTCATTGCCCTCCGAAAAGCGGCGCATGCATTCAGGTGCCTCACCGCCTGCTCACTCTTCTTGTGATGGTTGAATCTGGTGCGACAATGGTTGCAGATGCCACTCTTCAACTTGTGCGGTTCCGGATCATCGGTGAAGTAGCGCCAAAACTGGCCCATCGAGCGTCCTCTGGCCTTCCCCCTGCGTTCGCTGACGTCTCGTCGGCCACTTCATCCTTCTCTGCGTCGGCCACTCCATCCTCCATCACAATTACGACATCACAATCACATTCTTCGGAATTGAGTAAATCCTCATCCAGGTCCTGATCCATGATCCTGCTCGTGGTGGAAATTGGGTTCGTTTGATGACACTAATAACTCAGGTAAATGCTAAGATTTCTGATTTCCGGGCTCCGGCCTTCCGCAGTCCGTTACTTCAGTCAGACTTCCTGCAAAAACCAAAATGGCGTCTTTTTATAATAAACCTCAAAACCTCACCCTAACTGGCCCTTCGGGATATTG